AGAAGATATAAGTCGGGTAAGGTCCTTGACCTGCGAAATCCTTCTTGACCATGTCTTCGAACTCCTAAGCATTACCGGATCCACATTGACCTCCCTCTCTAATGTAGAAGAATTTGGTGGAGGGAAAGTGGGCTTTGGAGGCGAAGGATAGCGATGGCCATATGAAGGCGTGGGCGCCAGCACCAGTGTGACTGGAGGAGGCAGGAAGAGATTTGTGGTAGGAGGAGGGGTTGTCTTTGAGGATAAGGGAAGGATATAAGTCGGTAAGGTCCTTGGTGACCTATGAAATCTATCTTGACCATGTCTTCGAACTCCCTAAGCGTAATTCGTCAGGATTTGAACGGACGCAAACATCAAGTACAACTTACCTGAAAGGCTCATCAACATGCCCGTGCCTCCATGCGCAGGAACATGTCACTATCAATATGCTCGACAACCAAAAACTCGTCTTGGTGCTCTGGATCACAGGCCAAAAACAGCTCCTCAGATGAAGGACTTGAGGGGTACAAAAATTGAATCTCTTCTGGGAACAGCTTGAATGCCAGCGGTGTACGGCTGAACAAGTGCAAATTGGAAGGCGCCAATATCCGGAACTTCGCATTTGAACATAAATATGATCTTAACAAAGACGGTCCTTTCTGCAGTAAGCTGTATGAGTGCGCAATCGAAGCGTGGAGACCCATGGAAAGAAGGATTGGATTGGAGGTGATCTGTCGACTGTCTCCAGTTGACGGTACTTTCATAATTGAGCTTGAGGTAGCGGTATTCATGAATCTGAATAATATGCCAGTTAGGCATGAAATAACAAAAGATAATCAATCAATAGTATACCTGGAAATCAGTTGGAATAATGGTCCATCTCGTCAACTGGTATCCATAAGTAGGTAATGACATGTTGATGAAATTAGCAAGTTTCTTGTGGAAGCCTTGAAACACTGAATCTTGAGCACTGAGCCTGTTTTCAATATCCTGAATAGTATCAGCACGGCTTTGAGGAGAGCTGAGCTTGAAATGCCCATCCAAATTGATGTGGTTGTGGTCCTCGTCATCAAGCCCAGCATCACCTAAAGCCTGTAGGCGGCATTGTTCGTCGAGGGTATCCAGACATCCTCGCAACAGCAGGGCTGCACATTTATGATGATCAATACGAAGGATCTACAAGTATATACAACCTGTTAGCAACAAGATAACACGAACGGATGAGTGCACATACCTGTTTAGCAACGTCTTTTCCATTCGACTGAGAAAGATAGGCTGATTTTAGCGGGCCATGGAGCTTCTCATTTGGGCATGTGCTGTAGTTACGTGCCACACCTTTCGATTTAATGTCGTGTTGTGCGTGTTTCCAAAGATGCGTCTTTGGAAAGTTCCAGTCTGTCTTGATGCCCTCAATGGATGATGTCATAGTGGCATATTCAATGTAGTCCTAGCATTGTGTCAGTACCAACAATAATTTAATGAAAAGAAAGAAAAACATTACCTTGAGTGCAGTATCATAGATGAGGAATTCAGTGTCTATCATTGCAAGTGTCCGCTCTGTATGCACATTGAGCCTGATCAAACTATCCAACCGCAGGTAACTGCGAATGACTCGAAGAAGGTGGTAGCCTTCTGGACTGACTTGGCATTTTAAGACACTGAGCGCCGCATAAAATGCTTGCTTTGTAATGATCAGCCGAGAAATTGATGTTGATGGGCATATGTACATACCTTGACTAAGTCCCGCCTCTTGTTGCCATCGCTAAAGGTGATATGGATGACAGTGGTAAAATGGGTGAGAGCATGCCATCGAGGGAAGTCAGCAACCCTGGATGCAAGAGGTTTAGTGATGTCAATCATGGTAAAAAGACGTACTGTTGCTCGAAATTGTCCTGGGCCTCGCATCCAAGGTCAGCGAGGACCGTCTTCAATTCTCTGAGTAAATGTTCCCCCCCTGTGCCACCATGCAAGGTATGCAAGTTGTCCAGGCTTAATGCCTCATGAGGGTCAGAATTCTCGATGAGCCACAGGACATTCTGAAAATTTATCAGTTGAGAAGATTAAGAGAAAGATTAACTTACTGCGATGGGACGCAATCCTAACCCTTTCAGAACTTCTTCGCCTTCAGTTCTGTTCCATCTGTAAATGTCGAGCGCAACCTGCGCATCTTTCATAGACCTGATTGGGAAGGTATTGGACAAGTCATGAAGCTCGTCAAGAGGGACAAGACAGACTGGGCAAGGGCACTTGCACTGTAAACCACATATGAGAGACATCATGCATCTAAAAACAGAAGTGAGGGCTGTGCATATCAACATATGGCGCACTTACTGTTCCTCGTAGTCTCCCGAGAGTATCAGTATAACAGGAAACAACCAATGCATGATCTTGTCATAGCATGAATATGAATACCCAGTCTTCGAGTACTGATCAAGGTGAACAAGAAGCTTGAGGAATGACTCGTGCCACATGACACGCTTTAGAGTAGTATATCTGAGTTTCCCCTCTTCGAATGCCTCTTCAGGAACCTACAGTAATAGTAGTAATATCAAAAACCATTTGAGAGTACAGATGAAGTCATTGGGACTCACAATTGGTAACCACCCGACTGCCACCGAGCCCTTCACCGTTTTGAATCTCAACAGGTAGATTTGCGCAGCACACCACAACTGGGTACCCTTTAATGGTGCCATGTGAGGAGAGCCTAGTCTTGTCTGCGTATAATATAAAACAAAAGGGGACAGCATTCAGATCCGGCGGAAGATGAGACTGATAACATAAACATGATTATTGTATATACATGCGAGTATCAAACATGACAACATACTTGGATATCCCACCACTGGTGACCAGTCCACGGTTCGTTGAAGAAATGTTTGAAGTCTGTGCCATTATGTTTGTAGACGTGTTGCATGTCCCAAACAAAATGGGGTGCTAGCAATGGGTTATCCAACAGATCGAGGGCCCAGTCCCATAAAGGACGTGCATGCACCTCGTAGACCCGTTCTTCATTCTTGTAGGGAACTTTGATTTCATGTTTCGTGAACTAATATACAAGAATCTAAACGATTAGAAATGAGTATCTCAAGAATGAAGGAAAGGCACACACCGGCATCAGCTCAGTCACAGCATTGTCTAATGCCTTGCGCTGTTACAGGCATCCGTAACACCTACAGGAGCCCCTGCTCTGCTAGACTCCTGCCGCCAGCACTTAGAAAGACAGTGGTCTATACCACTGTGACACCGCCCCTGGCCTAGACGGCCTCGTACCTGACCCATGGAGGCTGTGCGCCTCATGGTCACCCTAGATCAGTGCATGTATACCTCATGCCGCTTCATGAAGATCCGGAGCGCCTCCAGGCGCCTCATGTATATGCGCAGTCGCACTTGGCGCTGCATGCTTGATCAGAGGTTAAACCTCATGTATCTTATCTATCCTCATGACCGTCCTCATGCCTTGTTATCTGTGATAACATAGATCCATAGATATACTATTAGATACAGACTGAGCTTGAACACTTACATGTAGCACATATAAGTAGACAGATTATTGTATTGAGATCTTTACTTTAATCTACTTGGTTCTATCCTGAAATTTGTTCAGCTAAGCCTCCCAGCTCAGCTGTCTAGACTGCACTTCTAAGTCGCTCCCCGCGCCTTAGCCGTATCTGCTAGCCCTGTATCTCAACGAGCGCCGTCTTACCAAGATAACCGGAGGAACCCTTGACGTTCCGTCAAGCCGAGAACACCCCTTAGCTTTGGTGGGCTCACTCGAGCCGTCGCTGAGAAGACCTATCCAAGTTCACACACGCCGACCGATGGTCAGCGTAACATGCGCAGATCGGTCTCATTTGTCAGTGTGATTTGAGTTTGACCCTGCGATATGTGGGCGATGAGGCTAAGTAGCCTGTCAATCTGGTGTTTGTTGAGAGCAGCATCAAGAGCAATTTCAGAAAATTCGAAATCTCTGCGTGACCGGAACGGACGCCACAGTGCTTCATCTGCAGGAAGTGCTTGCATCTCAGGAGCGATGCCAAACTCATCAAAGGATTGGTAGAGTGTTTGACGGCCACTACGAGGGTGAAATTCAGTTTCAAATTCATAAGACTAATCAATGGGCGCAGGCTGAGGTTGGACATTGCTGGTCATGCTTGCATCCGATAAGACTGTTACATAAAATATTGTTAATCAGATGATGAATGAGAATGAAACATGTAAGCACATACCTGGGCTGGGAAGGACCTCATTTCCAGGGTCAAAGTCTATAATGTTGTGATCATCCAATGAAAGACTGACTATAGGTGCAGTTGAAAGATCATCGAAGTGTCAGCAGCATGATTAAACTGGTAAGCAAGTGATGACACACTTTGTCCTGGGGTTGTGTCATCTTCGACCATATGTGATGGGCCTGCTACTGCCGTTACAGTCGAGGCTGCTACACCTTGTCAAGCTAGATGGCAGGCTATGTTCATTGTGACCGATGTCAATGATTATGATAACGTGTGGATAATAAGCTTTCGATCCATTATAAATAAGAGAACAAAATGACTCACCTCTTCATTTGTCTCTATCATACTCTCGATTGAGGTTCTCTTGTCCCTGTGCATCACGCATCCTGCACGTAGATTCATGGTGTTTGTAGCCCTGGGATTTGAACATATCGCTGCAGTGGGGACATTTTGATCCACTAGTCAGTGTTTTTTGGCTATAGTTGTACTTACTTCTGCTTGGGTGGTTTGGTGCCATGTATTTGACAGTATGGACAATGTGTAGTATGTACAGGTATGTGCAGAGTGGAGAACATGAGGCGACGACTGTAAGACTCTGATAATGCCACGTGATAAACCTTGTAAGCTGGCAGCATTTCAAGCCTTTCAAGGCCTTTATGTTGCGCCGACATCCTTAAATAGCACTTACAAGGCCCCTTGTAATGCACGTGACCAGCCTTCGGCTGAGTAGTAAGGCAGCTTCGACATGGCAAGGGTTCTCACGCAAATGGTCGACCGTTTTTTCAAAGACCGAACGACCATTTGGACCGTTTGAAAAGCATGTGAGGTTGGAGGTCACATGACGCCAGAATTTGCCGCACTTACAGAGTCAGAACATGGCGCAGGGGGTGACATCTAACACACTCAAAGCTCAAAGCAGCGTGCATTGCCCCTGTGTCTGTTCCCATTCTGAACAGGAATCATTGATCTTGTTCTCTACGATCTTGTCTTCGGCAGAATAATATCATTGATCCTGTTCTCCTACAATCTTGTCTTCGGCGGAGTTCTCAATATCTTAAGTTGTGAGTGGGCCTGCTGCACGAATAAGGAACACGGTGAGTCGACGAACAAACGAGACCACAATGGCATTGTGTGGGGACAAACGGAATGGACAGAACGAACGGACACCAAACGGAACAAACAGATCAGAACAAACAGATCAGAACAAACAAACAAAATGGACGAACGGATCGAACGGATCGAACGAATGGGACAAATGGAAGCGGGTAATTAAACGGGGGGATATTTGGAATTCGTTAGTGCGAGAATTGGGAGCTGGGAGGGGAGCCAGTCAAAATAGGGTAACCGGTGAGAGACAAGAGATCTGTGCGTGACTCACCGAAAAAAAAACTTTACTGCTGCAGGTAGTTAATCCTCAGCCATTCCTCACCGTTGCGAGAGACAATCCGGTTGCGGGGAGTGGTTGGGTCAGTGACAAAACCCTTGAACAGTCGAAAAAGCACCATGTTATCCGACTCGTGAACCTCGGTGCGCGAAATCAGCAGCTTCGAAAATGCTTCAGTCTCGAGCAGGTCCATCTCTCCTGGTCCCTGCATGAAGACGTGCTCGTAGACGTGCTGGACCATCGACAGGAACACGTGAGGGTGGAATGTTCGGCCCTCAGAGAAGATTCCTCGTGGCTGAGGCCAGGGAGGCAGTTCCTCGCCGGCAGCCTTGGAGGACTGCTTGACACCATCTGCGCAATACCCCTTCTTGTGGTTGAGGGGCAAGTTCTCGGGTCCTGGATACATAATTGTTTGACAGCGGGAGCATGTCTGTGCCTTTCGAGCCTTGGAAATAAAATGATGGTTGATGGGTCAGCGCGAACAATGTGCAAACGACCAGACACAAGTGACTGACCTTTCTGCCTGGTTCCCCCTTCACAAGTGGGACGACGGAACAATGACAGCGCCAAAATGACTCGCTGTTTTTGCATGCTGTTTACCCAATGTCAGAAAAGTAGTTGAGAGATGGTGTTTGCAAACGGACTCACAGGTATAGTCATTCTTGGTGATTTTGCTCATCAGCTTCGGCTCGATGTCACCCAGCGCATGTAGGAGGGCTTGTGGGTTCTTCTGGATGACTGACTGGCCCTTTTTCTTGATGAGATGGCGGTTGTACTCTTCTGTCGCCAGCACCCAGCGCTTCGAAGTCATTTGATATGACAGCCATTTGAACTCAGCCTGCATTTCCATAAATAAGTAGAACTCGTCCGAATTTTGGAAGGTGAGTGAGCGAGGATCAATACCCATGGAAATGGAGAACAGGCACTGAGACCGGGTCTGGCCTGCCGCGATAGCCATCAAGTTATTGATGCCAGTGCTGCCAAGCACTGGGCAATCCTGTGAAGAATTCGGGAGGAAGTTTTCGCGTGTAGCGTTGGTCGGGTGTGATTGCACATACCTTTGCAGTAGCCCCAGGAATCACTGGGCGATCGCTGGTGACTCCAGCACTGGGGGTAATTGCGTTGCTAATGCCAGCGCTGGGGCAATCCTGTGAGAATTCAGGAGGAAGTTTTCGCGTGTAACGTTGGTCGGGTGTGATTGCACATACCTCTGCAGTAGCCCCAGGAATCACTGGGCGATCGCTGGTGACTCCAGCACTGGGGGTAATTGTGTTGCTGATGCCAGCGCTGGGGCAATCCTGTGAGAATTAGGGAGGAAGTTTGCGTGTGTAACGTTGGTCGGGTGTGATGGGACATACCTCTGTGGTAGCCCCAGGAATCACCTGGCAATCCTGTGAGAATTCGAGAGGAAGTTTGTGTGTGTAGTGTTGGTCGGGTGTGATAGCAGTGCTGGCAACCACTAGGCGATCCTGTGAGAATTCGGGAGGAAGCTTTCGTGTGCTGCACCATTGATGGTCTTGCACAGAAGGAAAGTACGCATCGAGTCGTCCAGTACCTGGGGCCATGCTAGGAACTTCTGTGCTGGGCAATGCTAAGGTTCATAGTTTTTTGATGGTGCCGCTGCTGGCATTCCCTTCATCGTCCGAGTCCAACAAGATGCAGACAGCCTTTCTCTTTGGTGCTGGAGGTTTCTGCACGAAAAAAATGAGATATGGGGGGGTTGAATGGAAGTGTTGTTACTTACCATTGGTCTTGAAGTTTCAGCTGGGAGCATAAGAAGGGCGGGGTCAATTTGCCACTCGTTGATGATGACATTCCAACTGGCAAGAAACGCAAGGTCGACTTCCTCACCTGTGGTGGGGTCAACAGACAAATCAAAGGAGTCAAGTAGGCCCTTCTCAATGTTCTCCTCCTTGATCAAAAGACCACCGAATGTCGCTACATGATCTGACATAACTAACCCAAAAGTCTCGCCTGAGTCGATGTCACCAAGCTCAGGAAGAAGCTGCAGCTGAGAGTCAGTAGTTTTTTGCTGGAGCGTGTTGTGAAGCCTCGCTATGTAGTCACAGAGTCGGAGGTGATGTGAACCGTTGGCGAACTTGAGGAATGGCATGAGTTCGGGCCTGCTGAAAGCCACTCGCACGTTGCGATGGAGGACAAAATCATGGCCGAGGGCAGTGAGCATCGTCACACCGCTTGGCTGTGCTCGCTGAAGGGAATTCCACCCTTTGTGGGATCCCTCAATGCGACTCCCATCAGCTCTGATGCCTTGGATGCTGCGCTCAAGGCACCCTTTGCGGACATGTTTCAACTGTTCTTGGTGAACCTGAGTCATTATTGTCAGTAGCGATCGATTACAGTGGTACTTAGCGAAAAATGAAACTTACTTTCTGCGCTGCAGCTGACCAAACACCTTTGTCTGCCCATTTGCTGAATGCCACCATAAGCCTCCGTTCCTGCTCTGCTCGGTCCCAGTATTGCGCAGGCTGACCTTTCTCGGCATGTGTCTTGAGAATGGCGCCTGTGATGTCAGCAGCGACAGCGCCTCGATAAGGACTTTTGCTCGATTGGAGCATGACAGTGATGTATCTTCAAGTGCACATTGAGTAAGTAGAAACTAAGTAAAAGTAGATGCATGGCATTCACCTTGCACTAAAGTGCCAAACATCAAGTTTTGAATCCGTCTCCGGCATTGCAGAGGTCACTGCATTTCGAACTTGGCAGCAATTATCGGCGACCATCATCTTTGGCTGGGGGACGTTTAGAATGTCGTGGCAGTGCTTAAGACCTTGAAGGAGTTCAGTTATCTCTGTGTTCGTGCGCGTCTGGCAAAAGCGCTACATATGGAACGAATATGTCAGTGAAAAGCTTAGGTGAGTCATTGTCAAAACTTACCCATGAAATGATCTGATTGTCCTCATTCAAAACACTCAATATCCCGCCTTTCAGCTCCCTAGACTTCTGGCGATCCTTGTCGGTAAGTGTGGCCTTACTTGCTGCTTTGAACGTGTTGTCGAGTGAGCCAGCATATGGCTGCCAGGTTGGAGAATTAAAGGTTTGTTGGTCACATGAGTCTTTCTGTAAACTAACCTGATAAAGTCTTCAGGTATGCTCCACTCTCCTTTTGCCTTGTGCGTGCGCAGAAGTCTAGGAAGACTTCTGTGATAATCTCACCCGAAATCGATTTGTCAGCATATGCAAGTGGGTCGCTGGCGCTCGAGAATGCCTGGAGTGTCTTCACAGCTGCTCTTACTACCAGAGAAATAGTCGGTAAGTCTGCTATTTGCATTGCAGGTGGGCTGTATCTGAAATACTTCAAGGTATTCAAGCATTCGCCGCTTGTGTTCCAACAGGTGGAGCTCTTTGTGGCACACCGAATATGGTAAGAGTGTCTTTCTAAAAAGAAA